GCCTGAGGCTGAAGAGCTTGGTCTTTACCTTCTGTTGGATTTGTTTGGAGTAGGAGCTGCATTCCATGACACAAGGCCCACTCCGAATGATCTTGCACTAAAATGGTTGGGTGGTATATAGATTCTAGCCCTACAGCTGGAGAATAAGCCCACAGTGTGGGTGTCTAGCAGCTAGTGCATGTATATGTGCAGACTGTTACTGAACAATGTCCTTGGGGTCGGTGAAGTGCCCCCGTTTTCAGCTCTTCTGGCCTAAGGGGTCTACCTGCTCCTGTGCGGCCTCTAGCTAGCTGTATAAGAGCTGGCCACCACAGGGATTGTTGTTGCTGTTGGTATTGAGATGTGAACCTGTACTGGAACTTGGTCTTGTGGCACCATGTAGGGCTAGTGAGCAGACCAGGAGGAGCTAACTGTCTGCAGAATGCAAGTCGGCAGCCAGCAGACCATGCTACAAGTTTAGCTAGATAAAGGACTGCTGAACAAGATTAGGTAATTTGATGTTATACTTCTTATTTTAATATATTCAATGAATTTTATATATTTATGGCAGAATCATAATGTATGCAAATGATCCAAATTGGTTCCCCTACATTTCAATATATTTTGATAGTATGTAGGCCAAAGAAGTTAGCACCAATAAATATTAGGTTCTAGTCTACATTTCAGCTTACCATGAATTTAGCTAAATGGCATGTCTTTTACTATATGATAAAGAAATAAGCTATTCATAACATATATCAGGATGTTTTCAGTTTAAATTGTTCAATGTCCTTAAGATTTATTTTTTATTTGGTTAGTTTGTTCTTCATAATTTCTTTTAATATACATTTGTGTCTATGGGAGAATTTCAAATTATACATTTCCAAGTATTAAAGCAGAAACATAAGTTAAAAAATAAATAATTGAGGCATGGATAACATGAGATTCTCATTCTCCAAAAGTGGAAAGTATTACCGATTAATTGAAACATTATTTTTTTGAGTTTGATTATTTTGAAAAGTGCTCAAAGACTACTTTGCAACAGCCATATTCATACGACTGGAGAGCTGGTACCCATTTTGTGGATCAATAAACTGTTTGCAGAACAACTTGCTAGGATAAGTTATTTCATAAAAATTTTTTCAAGATAAGAAATCCAGTTCCAGAGATTCATTATTCACTGTTCTCACCTTATTTCCTCACTCTGGATAGAATTTTAAAGTGTATTCCTGTGCATATGTAGCATGGTATTTTCTGCTGGATGATTAACCAGATACCAAGGTGTAGAGTTCCAGAATTCTGAATGTATGCTTCAAACATCTGGAGCTATGTACATATGGGGCATATACAGCTGTGTTTATTTCAATGATTACACATTTACATGACTATAAGACATTTATTTAAACGTATCATCTCATATATGTGAGAATATTCAAACAAATGCATTTGCTGTAGTTATTTTAATATGCAATTGAAAAGATTCAAATAAATAATTCACTCCTTTTATTTAATCTTACTGTATTTATTTAAATAATGTACTTATTAATATATGATTATAGTGTTTTCTTTTTAGTCTAAAGCCAAATATTTTAGAAGATCAAAGAAGTAATGGGGATCACAAGTCATACAAATCAAAAAAATTTTGTGCAGAGGTATTCACAGTTAGCAAGCTTTCAGAAGAATTGAAAATTCAGCAGGAAAGAGAATAAAATCACTTGCAATTCAAGTGTTTCTATTATTCCAACAATTTTATAGTGTGATGAACATTTGAATTGAATCTCAAAGCATTTCTCCAAAGGTATTTTGGTTTATTTTTTCTTTCTTTCTTACTACTACTGTATCTGACAAGATAAACACTTCTGGGTATTGGTTTCATATAGTCAGGAAAGGGTTTCACAATATTAATCCCTTACCCCCTAATCTGGTTAAGAGTATTAAAATGATCTCATTTAACTGTATCTTTATTCTCGGAGAGGAACTGGAGACTGGCAAGTGATTTAGGAGGAGAGAAAATAAAATTATAGCGTGGATTCAATTCCTGGATCTCATATTCTGGGAGATTTCAGAGAACCTTCTAGTTAGTCTATTTAGAGTTGTACTCACTTCTTTTGTATTGTATTTCTTTTTATTTTTAAAAGATTTTATTTATTTATTTATTCATTTATTTATTTTTAGAGAGAGGAAGGGAGGGAGAGAAATATCAGTGTGTAGTTGCACCTCGAGTGCCAACTCTGGGGGATCTGGCCCACAACCAAGGCATGTGCCCTCACTGGGAATCAAACCCAAGACCCTTCAGTTCAAAGGTTGGTGCTCAATTCACTGAGCCACTCCTGCCATGGCCCATATCTCCTTTCTTTTCTTTTTATTTTATTATTTTTAAAAAATGATTTTATTGTTGTTCAATTACAGTTGTCTGTATTTTCTTCCCACCCCTCAACCCACCCCCTCCAAACCCACCTCCCTCCCCTGCTTTCACCCTCCCCCTTGGTTTTGTCCATGTGTCCTTTGTAGTAGTTCCTGAAAACCCTTCTCCCCACAGTCCCCTCCTTTCTCCCCTCTGGCTATTGTTAGATTGTTCTTAATTTCAATGACTCTGGTTATATTTTGTTTGCTTTTTTCTTTTGTTGATTATGTTCCAATTAAAGGTGAGATCATATGGTATTTGTCCCTCACCCCCTGGCTTATTTCACTTAGCATAATGCTCTTCAGTTGCATCCATGGTGTCCCAAAGGGTACAAGCTCCTTCTTTCTCTCTGCTGCGTAGAATTCCACTGTGTAAATGTACCAAACTTTCTTGATGCACTCGTTTGCTGATGGGCACTTAGCTGTTGTAAATTGTGCTGCTATGAATATTGGGGTGCATAGGCTCTTTTGGATTGGTGTTTCAGGGCTCCTAGGTTATAATCCCAGCAGTGGAATTGCTGGGCCAAAAGGCAGTTCCATTTTTAATTCTCTGAGGAAGTTCCATACTGTTTTCCACAGTGGCTACACCAGTCTGCATTCCTACCAACAGTGCAATAGGGTCCCCTTTTCTCCACATCCTCTTTAACACTTATTTGTTGATTTGTTTATGATGGCCATTCTCACTGGTGTGAGGTGGTATCTCATTGCGGTTTTAATTTGCATCTCTCTGATGGCTATTGATGCTCAGCATCTTTTCATGTGTCTCTGAACCCTCTGAATGTCCTCCTTGAAGTGTCTGTTCAAGTCTTTTTGCCCATTTTTTAATTGGGTTGTTTGTCTTCCTGGAGTGATGTCATGTGGGTTCTTTATATATTTTGGAGATCAACCCTTGTCCGAGGTATCATTGACAAATCTGTTTTCTCATGTGGTTGGCTCTCTATTCATTTTAATGTTGTTTTCTTTAGCCATGTAGAAGCTTTTTAACTTGATGAGGTCCATTTGTTTATTCTTTCCTTTATGTCATTCACTTTAGGGGACATATCCATGAAGATGTTGCTGCATGGAATGTCTGAGATTTTTCTGCCAGTGTTTTCCTCTAGGGCTTTTATGGTGTTATGACTTAATATTTAAGTCCTTTATCCACCTTGAATTTATTTTTGTGTATGGTGTAAGTTGGTGATCGAGTTTCATTTTTTTGCATGTAGCTGTCCAGATCTCGCAACACCATTTGAAGAGGCTATTTTTGCTCCATTTTATGTCTCTTTCCCCTTTGTCAAATATTAATTGATTGTAGAGACTTGGGATTATTTCTGGGCTCTCCGTTCTGTTCCATTGGTCTATGTGTCTGTTTTTATGCCAGTACCAGGCTGTTTTGATTACAGTGGCCTTGTAATAGAGTTTGATATCAGGTATTGTGATCCCTCCTGCTTTGTTTTTTTTTTTTCTCAAAATTGTTACAGCTATTCGGGTCGTTTATGGTCCCATATAAATTTCTGAAATGTTTGTTTTATATCTATGAAATATGTCATGGTTACTTTAATAGGGATTGCATTGAATGTATAAATTGCTCATATCTCCTTTCTTAAGGGCATTTTTAAACTAGGCTGGGCTGGCCTAGAGCAGTGGTTTTCAACCTTTTTCATCTCATGGCACACATAAACTATTTACTAAAATTTTGTAGCACATGAAAAATATTATATTTTTGCCGATCTGACAAAAATAATAGATGTAGTTTTGATTTATTCACACTATACAGCTATGGTTGTGTTGGCTGTTGTAATTTTTTAATTTGACAGTCTAAGGGCAAAGTGGTCTGTGGTCCTCACTAAATTTTTAAAGCAGTCAGGATTGCATGTTTTAAAAATTCTTGCAGCACACTGGTTGAAAATCACTGGACTATAAGAAAGTGACATAGTTGAGCGAGAGAAAAATTAAATGAGAAGTTGCATAATTTTTTAAAGAATTTTAATTTACCACAAATATAAAAATACTGACTATAGGCACTTTTTTATTAGTTAAATTATTGAATAAATGCAACCTCTCTACGCCTCACTTTCATCATTTGTAGGTTATAGATAATATCTCTCATTGCACATTGTGAGGATTACATGAGTCTAAATTATTCAATTGTCAAATGTTTTCCAAATTATAGTTAATAATATTTCTTCCCATTTTGTAAATGTGAAAACTGGATTCCGGTACATACTTCCAAACCTTAGTTGTTGGTTGCATTTCAGGAATCACCTTTTCTATGTTGATTAATCTGTTAAAAGCTTGAATTGGCAAACAACATTGCTTTCTGAGACAGTTCATACATCCAGGATGATCCCTGGAGACTGTGAATGGGTACTCAGGTGGGAAGAGTTCAATAATCAAAATAACACACTTTTGTGTTTTATATTTATAAAACAAATCGCTGTCCTTGTTTGAATTTTTAGTCACATTTCTGGGCAGGTGTATCAGCCCAGGATTCCAAAGGATATTAAGACCACAGGGAAAACGCATTTGTGTCCAGGACCAGCGTAGAGGCGGGAGAGAGACTGGCCAATCGGAGCTCAGGCTGATGGCTGGTGCCGCCCCCTTTGGTCGAGCACCGCCTCTTTTCCGTCCATCTCTCTGGGAGTGGAGGGGTGTCGCTGGCTCGTCTAGCCCCTGCCTCTAAGTGACAGGACCCTGTACAGCAACACTTCTAGCCGGTCACGAAGTTTGTCGGTCCTTGCTTTGGCTGAGCTGAGGTGTGAGTGTGTGTATGTGTGTGTCCGGAGAGGGTTATTTCTGGGAGGCGGGGGAGGATCTGGCCAGGAAGCTCGGGATCCGGGATTGAAGGCGTTTTGGAGACGATCTTTCCGCTTCTGGGGACGGCACTTGGGCGGGCTGGGCTGAGGGAGGATCTGGAAGAGGAGGAACCCGGGCCCTGGGGAACCCAGTAGGTATGGTAATGACTTACGACCCGTTCCAGCGAACTGGGCGCTCACGGTGGGGGTGGGAAATAACCTGTGCGGGATTCAGGCTGGCGGTGGACTTGACTGCCTCGGTTGCTAAGGAACGCGTGGTTTCCGCTCTGCCAAAGTGTCGGGCGGAGGCGGCTGGGCCCTGGAAACCTAGCCACGCCCACCTCTCCAAGGCCTTCAACTAGGGATTGGCTCCTTTGTGCTGTCAGTTAATACGTGTCCGTTTATTTCATTCTTCAGTTCAGTGGGTTGTGTAGTTCTTGCTCTGTCGTTCATCTACCATTTTATGACTCTCCACACTTTCCATCTTCACTTAATCTACAAGTATCTGCAGACTGAAACATTTGCCGAGAAGAGCTTTAGGCAGCGTGAGGTGGTTTTATTAGGGGCGGGTGGAATGGGAGGAGTCTTTTCCCCAGTGCTTGATGAATCACTGAACCCGCAAGGGTGTCCACGTAGATAACTAGGAATAGGGGCCTAGGAGATCTGGATTCTTATACCTGGATTCTTCTTTTTCTTGCTGCTGCCTGTTTTGATCTCAAGGAGCTTCTCGGGAAGTTAAGGCAATTCATTACTGGACAATATATGTAGGATCTATCTCCCTTTCAGACCTACTGTGGAGAGGGCAGATACTAGCATATATATCCCTGTTTTGCTTAATTCGTCCATATTAAAAAATGAACTATGAAATGGTAACCACAAATAACCATTTTAAATTTCTTCTTTGCTTATATCAGCCGTTCCCCAGTGATTCAGCAGAATAAACAGTCCAGAGAGAAGACAAAGGAGCTAAAAGTCTGCTTTTACTTCCCTTCTGCTAGGTGTGTTGTATAAATCTCCAAGAAGGAAGCTTTTATAGCTTGTTAACACTGGGAAGAACCTTGACCTAGAAATGTGGAAACTGGAAGGGTTAGGGAATGTTTGTCCTTAGGCAAACCTCATAACTGTTATCTATAAAGTGGGAATATTTATGTGCCCTTTGTTCCTAAAAAGTAAGGAGGATAATTGATTGTAAAAGTATTTTTAAAGTAATGATTTACACAGATGTAAAGTGTTATTGATTAGAATTTTCTTCTTTTGTCTATAGGATCTGAATTTGTAAACATACGTGATTATGATCAATCAGCTTAAAATATTTTTAGCCTTCCTTGTAATTTCTTTTTTATCTTTGGGTTATTTAGAAATGGGGAAGACACCCATTCTTCTCTCCATTATTGATTGGTTCTGGTTAGGTGCACCAGGAATGTCATGCATGACACTTTTTTCCCCCTGACATCACTAGATTTTTTTCAAGATTATATATATCCTGAAAGGATTGGGAAAGATTACCTTGTAATCCAATGATGAATATCTCTTTGGTAACATATACCACTCTGAGAAGCCAAGGAAAGCTATTGACTCTCCTCTTAGAAAAAGACAAATTTGAAGCATAAGTGGACGCTAGATTAAGAACATGTGTTTTCGATCAACTTCTTAAGTAAAAAGGAAATTACTCTTTCCCTTTGCTCATCCCACAGAGAGATTGGGTAACTTATATCCGAAGCTACATAGCTGGGAGCAGAGTTGGATATTCTTTCTTCCAGAGTGCATTTTACTACAGCTTACTTTAGTTCACTTTAGTTCAGGGTCTTCAGCCAATCCCCAATCCTTTTTCTTTTTCTTTTTTTTTTTTTTTAAACATTTAGCAAACAGGAACTACCATTGCTCAATAAATTGTTGCTGTCTTTCAACACCATATCAGCTGTATTTTATTCCAAATTACTTTGATCATTCTCTTAAATCATATTTCTGTATTTGAAGAAGAGAATTTATCACATATTTTGGGGAAATATTAAATTTTTTAAGTAATCACTAAGTACATAAATTTTCTCTTTGATTAGGGTCCATTCTGGACAAAGAAAAGATGCCACTAGAATATGATTACCTGACTCCTAAAACTCTTTTCTTAAACTTAAATGAATAATCTTTTATAACATTTTAATTTCCTGTGGCTAAAATATATTGTGGTTGGTTCCACTGTGACTGTTTTCCTGATTTCTGTTTTAAAATAGAAAGCTATAAATAGAGGGTTTTTCCCCCAAGTTCCTTTATCTAGCTTTATCAATAAAAGTGGGCATTAGTAGTGGATATTGTCATCAGATGTGGAAAACAATGAGGAAAAAGTATATGGCTTTTGTAATAAACACAACAGTATGTAGGAGCACCTGTTGTTTCTTTACCACTTACAATTTTATTCAAACTGTTTAGTATGTTGAAAGACAAACTGAGAGATATTAAAATGTTTGAGAGTTTACTTGAGCAAAAATTGATTTGAATTGGACAGCATTCAGTCTAGCAGATAGGAAGGAGCTAGACTTTTAGGCAGAAGGGAATGGGAATGAGGAATTTATACTGCCAAAAAAAAAATAAAAAGAAAGGGCTGGTTATTGTGAGGTTACTTCCTTTAGGGGATGGTAGGGGCCTATCAAGCAGATTACCTAACTAGTTAGTGCTGATCAGGTGATTCTTGATAGACTGGTTTAAGATTCCTGTTCTGGAAGAGCTGAAATTGTAGTGAAGTCTTGGGTTGGTGATGTGGGGTTGAACATAAGCAATTCCATTTTGGGCCTGTTGTTTTTAACAAGTATTTAACTATCTCTCTCTTTACTCACTTCATTTCTGATAGAGAATTGGAAATAAGGACAAGTAGATTAGAGAATGATAGCTTTTAGGGAATTAGTAAATAATAGCTCATTCTCTTGGGTTTGTCAACAGACAAGTGAAGTTTGCATTACCAGTTTTGTTACTGAGGAGCTGATTGGACATAGTGCTTTAGATAGGAGACCATAAATGAGTACTAGGACCTCTTGCCCTCTATTACTTCTTCTCCCTTTCTCAGAACCTAGATTTTAGTTCAGAGTTAACTGCCCTGCAGGCTCCAGGACAGACTGAGAGAGTAAAAGAGGACTTTAGGTGTTTACAGGTTTATAATAGGGTATCTCTACCCATTGGAACAATATGGACCAATGGATTTTTTCTACCTATCAGATCATTTCTCTTACTGTGCAGCTGTGAATAAAGAGTGAGAAACCAGGACGTTAATCTGGTACTCCAGAGACTGACTAGGGTGATACCTCTGGGCTATTTGAAATATGTGGAGATGATTTAAAATTATTACAATGTCTTTAAAAAACTCTACTGGTTTAGGGACTCTACAGTTTAGGGATGCTAAATATTGCATAATGTAGAGGTCCACCAGCTCAAAGAATTTCCTTCTACCTCAAGGCCAAAAACATCTTCACTGAGGACCACAGTTTCAGAGGAAGTTCCTTTATGTAGAAACATGAGGGTAGTCTTCCCCTCTAGTCTTTGTTCCTATGTGTCCATGTTTTTGATATCAGTAGATTTGGCTCTATGTGTGAAGGTCTTAATGAAAATTCAGCTTAGAATATAGTTATTTTTTGTTATTCTTTCAGAATGACTACATTGATATTAATGGAAAACAGTGATACATATTTTATCATATTTGATATTCTCAGGACATTTCTTACTTGACAAATAAGAATCAGAGAGTCTTAGAGACAAATCTTTTTATATAATGCATATTACTACATTTAATCCTTTCTTATATGGTAGAAATGTGAAGTCTCTTTGCAATAATAGAGTGAGATGGATGTATGTTTTTGGGGAAAAGAAAGTTTATTTCTTAGCTTACCTCTTTTGAAATGTTAACAACAGTAGAAAGGTAATACTTTCTACTGCAAGGTTTAACAAACACTGTTTTCTTGAATTAGAAGGTGGAGACAGTGCCATAAATGAGAGGATCTTGTCATTTTCATGGTTTTCAAGCCGCAGAACATGGAGAGTGACAGCAGGAATAAAAAAGTTTAGTTCTTCTATAGTGGTATTATGTAGTGACATAGTTACAAAGATAACATACTATTTAAATTGAACAACTTAAAATTTAAGCAAAAACAGAAGCAAGATGGCTTAATCCAAAGAACATTTTTTACATACTTTGAATATTAAAAATATTTATGTGTCACATTATGTAGAATAATAAATTTTAAGGATACTTGTGGCAAAATTCTTATTGTCTATTTCAGTTTATTACCTATACCAGGTAGAAGGTACACTAGATCAAAAGTTTTAGACGTGGCTCCAGCATAGACATCTCATATGTTGGGTTTTATAATGTTTCCAGGCATCAAGTTCTTCCGTTGTCCATGAAAAGATTTGATTTGTAATTTGCTACTGTTTTTTTCTCAAGAATATGCTTGTATATTATAATTCATTCTTGTTATTCACAGTGATTCTCTCTGGGCAGGGTAAATCATTTCTTTCAGTTGGGAAGTTATAATTTTAAAGAGAACTTCCCAATTTCTGATTCTATTTTGTCTGTTTCCTAGAGGTCCATTCTGTCTCTTTTCTCCTCAATATGCCCCGCCCATGCATATGCACATTTTGTAAACACTAGACTATGTAGAAATGGTCTATCTATATAGTCCCTTTCAATGCCAAAATGTTCTGGACAATAAATCCCATAAAACCAAGGGAAATGAAATCAGTAGAAGACTCAGAGGCATACCTGTGAAAATCTAAGAAGTTTAAGCTAAGAAGGACATTTAAGAAAATTCTTGGACATCTAACATGTGCAAGACTACATGGTGTCTGTGGATAGGAGAACTGCATGTAAAAACAACAGCTAATGGTTACGTGACTAGGAAGACAGTAGGGTAGAACAAAAAGATGACAAAAAAAACTAAACATATGAGAAATGGATTAGTTTTGTATTCCAACTGTAA